GATAAATAGACTATCTCACAGTAAAAGAATTTTTCAAATCGGACCAGTAGTTCCTGAGATTAGCGCGTTCAACCAAACAAACAGACTCTTCAGCTTTTCATATAGATTAGAATATCGCCGCCTCCGAAAAATAAAATGATAATTGTAAAACACAATTTTTCATAAAAATAAAAAAAAAACCGTATGTTTATTATTTTTAACTTACTGAGCAATAGATGAAGAAAGATACAAAGTTACCAAAATTCTGTTGTTGATTTAATTTAATAATAACACTTAGCATTTTATTCTGATTACTTTCAAGAGACTGAGGGTATTGCTTTGCATTATTGCTTTGCTATGAATGTTTTACAATAATATTAAACATTAACTTATAAATTAACGGAAAACATTATCTTTTACCCTTCTATACATTAATTAATGATTCTAATAAGAAAAGCGCAAATCAATGAATTAAAATTACAAAGCGTGTTTTGCCCTGTCTTCATGTTATTCATTTCCGTTTCGTTTCACCAAAACACTCCCACAGGTTAAAGAAAGAAAAAAAGTAAAGGTGTCATCAAAAAGCATCGAAGTTGGTGATTTTATCGAAACATCAAGGTTTCATTGCCGTGGTTTGAAAGATTCTGTTGCTGTATATTCGTCAGTGATCTGACTTGCTAATGAGTAGACAAACGCGCGAATAAAACGTAGGTAGGGCACAATCAATCAATTTCGAGATAAAGGCATACCTATTATATATGACATTTCCAAATATATATATATGTATGTATATGTATGTGTGTGGTATAGTAGGCCAAAACCTCCTTTCTAAGGAGAGGCCTATGTCCAGCAGTGGACTAGTATAGGCTGTTGATGTGATGTGTTGATGTTCCAAATATAAATTTGTTCTAAAAAATCTGTGCAGTTTAAAATCGTGTTTAAAAAAAAATCGTTAAAAATATGGACAAATAGACATTTGACAATAGCTAAATTAGTGACGGATTAAGAAAGCGGAGTGTCACCACCCCTATTCATCCCGTGGGTGTCGTAAGAGCCGACTAAGGGTGCAAACTACTCAGGAGAACAGCACTGCAAAGTGAAGGAAAGCTTGATACAAACACTATACCAACTCGTTTGGCTAGCGTGGTATAGTAGGCCAGAACCTCCTTTCGAAGGAGAGGCCTATGTTCAGCAGTGGACTATTAAAGGCTGTTGATGATGAAGTATAATCATAGAGTGAACAAGAGCCCCAATTTTGGAATATAGGCAACGAGGAGATGGCAACGAGATAGATAGATCCCTCTATCTCTTTCTCTTAAGGGGTTAATAAGTAGCCAATCTCAGCTTAGCTAAACAGAGCGCTAAACAGAGACAAAGGGAACTATCAGGCATCCATCTCTCTTGTTGCCTGTATCGCTTCCACTTACAGGCAACTGTATACCGTGTTCTCTCTATGCTTATATCTATATTTTTGCATCAATATAGTAAGGCGTCATATCGTCGCGGCTGCCAGCCAAAGGTGACCGGTCCATTGTTCGTAATCCTTTCTGCAATTTGTTTTTAGACAGCCATGAAGGTGATGCCATGATTTTTTTTTGTTTTATACGTAAAAGATGAACAGATAATAGATAAGGTGTTAGAAAATATTTTCATCCATCTTGGGGTAATTTAGGAGGCAGTCAGTTTTGTATGAGTAAAGATTGTCAAATCGAATCAGTGTAATTTAATATTTAATAATGTCAAAACGGTAATAGTTTTTTAGAAATAATACTCTATGACGTCATTAGTTAGTGTTACCTTTTTTTTATGAAAATAAAACGTGTCATCATCAACAGCCTTTAATAGTCCACTGCTGAAAGGAGGTTTTGGCCTACTATACCACGCTGGCCAGACGGGTTGGTATAGGGTTTGTGTCAAGTTTCCTTCTCTCTGCAGTGCTGTTGTTCTGCGTATTTTCCTCCCTTAGTCGACTCTTACGACACCCACGGGATGAATAGGGATGGTGACACTCTGTATTCTTAATCCGTCACCACACGGACAATAAAACGCGTAAAGTAATTTTTTTACTCTATTATAAGTCAAAGTCAAATTACATTCAATGCGCCTAAATCATGGTAAATTTAAATAAGTTGCGTACTTTAACATTTAATTTTAGGATTAATATGAGTTATGCTCATCATTATTCCAATAAAAAAAGAATGATTGATATCCGTTCACAATTGCCGATATATTGCATAACAAAAAAAAACAAAACACAATAGGTACTACTGACGTTTAAAAGTGCACTGAATGTAACAAGGCCTATTAAAAAAAAAACATTTGAATTTGAGTTCAATCATTCAGCCGAATTGAAAGTATGGATTTTTTGAATTTTGAATTCCGTTATAAATAATAGTTTCAGTTCTAGTTTCAAAGTGGGTTTCAAAAGGGTGATAAAATTAATCTCCCATCTATAGGACTCAAAATACTAAACTCGCGGATGAAGAACTTTAGTATTAGCGGTAATTATAAACAAACAAAGGCTATCATTATTGTGAAATGCAAATCTTTTTTTATTTTATGATATAGGGAAACACACGGGTCTCCTGATGGAAAGTGACTACCACCGCCTGTGAACGTGGAACTCAGGAGTTACAAGCGCTTTACCGGCATTTGGTGATGGAGTACGCTCTTTTCTTGAAGGTTTGGAGAGCGTGTCGATCCAGAAATACCGCAGTCTTTTTTTTTTTTTGCAGATTGGTTGTACAAGGCAAAATATATCTTGAGCAAAGAAAGCGCACTGCGGTGGTGTGCTAATTTATTTAAATGATGGTGTTACTTATAAGAAAATAGGTTTTCTTTTTCAAAATAACCACATTGTTTAATAAATTATCTAAGAAATTATCGATGTACTCGTAAATGTCCGAATCGGTTAAAGCTTTAATAAAGAGGAAATGAAAAAAAAATCACGATAGCCTACCAAAAATATTTTGTTTTTACAATTGGAACTGCAACTCTTAACTGACATATTGTATGTTTTTTTTTTTATTTTAGTCAAAACCACAAAATACTGGACATTTTGTGGTTTTGACTAAAATAAAAAAAAACATACATTTTGAACTTATGATGTCATAAACTTACAAACATTTACATAAACCTTGAAAACATTACACTATTTCTGAGCGCTCGTAATTAGACTATGGTATTGACCCAACAACGGGCAGACGGCGCATCTGATGGTAAGTACATGTACATGAACAGTAGGGATGGAATAAAATTATATTCACATGTGATAAATCATAAAATCACACCTGTGACTTATTTACAAAACCACTGCGACTTATTATTATTTTTACGGTAGCACAAGACACGCGCGAAAGGCCTAAATCTTGATTGATTTTACTTCGAATTTTGATTGAATTTAATGAAATTTATCTTTGTCTATGACGAAATCACAATCACATGTGAAATCGCTGTAACTAAAAACAAATATTTCATCAAATGAATATGATTTTAAAATAGCAACAATTGCCATATCTAATGGACACTGACAACACTGTTGAGTTACCTTTGAGTAAACGGCCCCATAATTAGGATGAGGGAGATATTAGGCCTCCGCCTTAGCTAGTCTGTAAAATGCATCGAAAGAATTGGTTTCCTGTATGGTCATGCAAGATGTGCCGAAACAAGACCCCTCATGGTTTGGATAAAAAGTCTAAAAATTATAATTGTTACAGACAAACAGAAAGACAGTCAGACAGAGACGCGGTGGGGAACTTGTTTTACAATAATGTAGTAATATCTAAACTTTGAACCGAACTTTTAGGTACACTAAAGACGCCATATTTTTCTATATCTGTAAGAAATTATGAAACGTGTACGTTACTCTAATTTGTCAGTTTCATGGGCGAGTGCGTCTGTGTAAGAGGGCATCATGTCGGATAACGAATAATAAAGTAACGAACTGTAGATTGGCAGCGATCTTAGTGTTGCCAGCGCGACACTGATGCTTTGGACATACTTTTATTTATTTATTAAATATATAGAGACTAGATATTAGTAAAGACTTTCGCTCAAGTAAAGTTTTTTTTAATATTGTTTACTGTTTTAGCAAACACACACAGTTTGTCTGAGCCTAATACGATTACTATTAGTAATTTACCAACATACCTACTAAACCTTGTTTAAATACTTAGTCTAAATTAGTGTGGTGCTTATATCTTTTCACTGTCTTATTCAATGGGAGAGGCCTATGTCCAGCAGTGGACTGCGATAGGCTGATGATGATGATGATGATGATTCTAGGCTTTGTCTTTCTTTATCTTTTTATCTTTGTTTATTGAGGGTGGACAAATACATTGTTCCTTGATCCGGCTCTCGCTGTTTTTCGAATAATCAGCGCGTACAATATGAATATGAGAAGTTTACTTACAGAGGAATTCCCAATAGAACTCACACATCATCATCATCACATCAACAGCCTTTAATAGTCCACTGCTGGACATAAGCTTCTCCTTGGATAGGAGGTTTTGGCGTAATATACCACGCTGGCCAGACGGGTTTCCTTCTCTCTCAGTGCTGTTGTTTTTTCCCTTAGTCGCCTTTCACAACACATAGCGTAAAGTCAAAGAAAGAAAAGTACAACAGAACTCACTTGGCGTAAAGTCACAGTCTCGGCCTAGTTTGGAATCAGAAGGCGTGTGTGTGAAGTGTCAGATACGTCAAGTTAATATTATTAATTCAGTGTCATTTATCTGTTATTATCGTAAATCAAGGCCGAAGATTATCTATAATGGTGATTTTTAAAAGTAAATAGAAGTAAATCGAAATTAAGAAGTTTTTTGTTATTATCTGAAAAAGACAAACGTTCAAGAAACGGGTAAAATGAACACTCAGATTCGGAACGCGTTGTCCCATATGAGAATCGAACTCAGCTTAGTAGAAAGTGGTGAGGTGACCTCTTAATCCACTACGCCATCTGTACAGTCAACTAACTATATAAGCTTTTTTCTTATAATATAGCAAAACACTTCAAAGAAAATTTACATCTTTATGTGTCCATTATCTGGCAACCCCGATCTCATAGGTGACCGTCGGCTTGGGGCGGCGTGGTGGCACCGTCCCGCCGCGCGCCTCGCCGACGCGTCCTCTCGCCGCCACGGCCCCAGCTTGCAGGGGATGCGAACAGCGGAGGGTGGCCACCATTGGAAACACATTGATATTTTTGTGAGGGACACACTAACATAAATAGGTTCTGTTATGTACTTGAGAGTCAGATTTGACTGTTACTTATGATGATATTAATACTTGATTTTGTCAAGTCGAAGTTTGACTAAATATTGCCATGCTAAATACAAGAAGTATATATATTTTTTTGAATAAGTACCTTAACCAAAATTTATAAATGAGATATTTGTCAAATCTATACAAATAAATAAACTTGGAGTGTCTGTTTGTAAGATTAAAATAACCGGTTTTTACTAAATGCATATGTATGTTTACACGGTATATATGCCAAAATAACATTTTTTACAATTTTTGTCTGCCTGTCTGTTTGTTCCGGGTAATCTCTGGAACGGCTGGACCGATTTCGACGGGACTTTCACTGGCAGATAGCTGATGACATAAGGAGTAACTTACTTTTTTTAGACTAGCTTCGACCCGCGGCGTTGCCCGCGGTTATAACAACAAACGCGGGTAACACCGCGGGTCTCAGCTAGTAACATAATAAATTTCGTTCCTGTCATGACACCACACGGCTTTTATTTACTATACTCGTAAGTTCCATCTTAAACGTACAGACTTTTCATAAAAATATTAAGGAAAATGAATAATATATCTAACAATATTTATAACATTGTTAACTGTGGAATTAATAAACAAGCAAAGATATAGGAGAAACTCTTTACACCGTTACTTGCCCTCGAGGGAATCGAACACACGACCTTTGGCTTAGCAGGCAGGCTCACTTGCTACTAGACCATCTGGCCCGTTAAATATTACTTGGTATTAAAATGATGAATATTTAAAAAAAAATCTTTAGGACTATGGCCCATTGTGTTATTATTACATTATTCTTACAAACTAGCGTTAGTAATAAAATACATTATTGTTTAATACATGTTTATATTAACAGGCTTCTGAAGTCGCCGCCATTTCCAACTATAGGGCTGTTCCAACTGCGCCCGAGGTTGCAGAACGACCTCCGTCCTCCATAAGCGCAGGCCTGGGGGTGACAGGTGAGGCCATCTGTCACCTTAGCAGAAGCAGGCCGGGGTGGCGGCAAGAAGCGCTGCCGAGCGCGCGCGCCCTTTTGGGAGAACCAAGGGAACATGGGGGGTCCCACACAGGAGGGGGTCATCTCCCGCCGTAGATGACCCGAGGTACGTTGGGGTACCAGGGATTACCTTTCTAGGGTACACCTGGTTCCCCGGCTACTTGTACCCGAGTCGGCGTGCGGTTTTTAGTCGGTTCGAGTCCGAGATAGCCACCGGTAGGTGGTATCCGAGGGGAATTCCGCACAGAAGAAAAAAAAGGCTGTTCCACTTGTCTACCATCACAGTGAGGATGCTATTGGTACTGCGGTGCAACCTACTCATGATGGAGGCGTAACGTTTTTTAATGACTTCGCAGAAATTTCTACAGCCGCTTAGGCAAACATGCGAGACGCACTACAGTTGCGCGGCAGCCCCATTCAACCCTCTGCGTATAGTTAAACCACAGAGTGCACGTGTAGAATGGCGGACAGGAAGCTGTAAAAAGTGTTAGGTACTGTTACTTGTTTTGAGCATCGTGCAAACCTAGGAGCCATCGTGTTCCATCGGACAGCCAGCGCTCTACGCTCACGCTCCATGTCCAAGTCATCGCCACAGATTTTCTGATTCCTGAACCCTAAAAAAGATGGCTGCCATCCATGATAAACTTCAAAGCTTGATAGGAAGAGTAAACAGGTGCAGTAAGTACGCGTTGAAGGTACGTTCAAAGCCACAGGACGCATGTTCCCTTGTCTAAGCTAAATACAACGTTTTGTTAAAAAAAAGTGAGTATGTTGCTGTAAATTCAATAAGATCTCCCTACATATTGAGTATCTTAACATTTAGTAATACCTACTCCATTTTTAAAAGATCACGGATAGACTATACTATTAGAATAGCTTGTTTGCAAACTTCCGTGTATGAAAAGTTGTTCTCGGTAGTTGTATTTGTACAAGAACACTAGTATGCCACTGCTCCGCACTTTGTGTGATCAACAATTGTTTCTGAGTCTAATAAACAAGAAAAAAAACTTAAAGAAAAAAGTAATATTTGTAGTAAAAATAGTATAGCAAAAATATTCATTATCCACAAACATCAACGACAAAATTAACATGTCAATTGATTCCTTCTACCAGTATTGTATCCTGACAATAGACAATACACGAGAACGACGTTAGTGCTGTACCTTCGAGGTACTCAGTCCTTGCTATACCCAGTGTTAGGCCATCTGCCGTGGGTGCCCGGCTGTTTGGCACCGAACCGCCGCGCCATAGTGACGCGTCCCATCGCCGCCACCCTAGGATAACATGCAAGATGCGTCGTATTTACAACTGCCATTGTGTAATACACATCAAAACAGACTTAATGATGGTTTTTCTTGTTAGTTCATACTATAATACATAATTATTCAGAGATTATACTTTCAAATCACATAGTATTAATACTGTCATGTCTATGTATATCGCTGAATACAGTAAAAGAATTAGTAAAAATTTAGGTACGTCTTATGCAATGACTATAACGTAATTAAATTATAAAATAACAAAGTAATTTAAAACACACATTTTTGTAGTTTAGTCTTTATTTCATAACTTTTCAATTGAATGACAAAGGAAACATCAAACAATACGGTTCAGCCTTGTTATTTTGTGAGAGCGAAATAAAAAATCTAAAGAAAAAAGTTTTAAGACGTAATGACTGAATCCGTAATTACTGAAACTTCAATAACCCTGTACGTAGGAGTTTGAAATTTGCAAGCTCTACAATCTCATTCAGTTTCATTCACAAGTCCCGTGTACGGGCGCATAAATACCGTGATTTTCCCAGTTTTCGCGCCATTCCCGCGCCGAACGGCAGCCATGATACGCGTTGTCATATTGCTGGATATACGAATTTGTTCACGACAATACGAAAACTTATAAGATAATGTTAAGTTTACAGCATGTTTAACTAACTGTTATATTTTGGACTTGTGGAGATTTTACGTGTACGTTTGAAGATGTTTTTATGGATTTTAGAACATTTATGAGGTGAGTTTTATGAAAATAAATGTACAAGCTAAAAACCACAAACATCACCTAAAATATAGATCAGACACTTTACTTTTACTGTATTCTGTTATTTTACGTTATAACACTATAACAATTTTGTGCCTTTATTTGACCTTTAATAAAAATTAAGGTATATTATTGTTAAAACTCTAACTTACGTTATTGCAATTTAGAGGCACTGTTGTCATCACACAGTCACTTACAGACACTCGTCAGAGTTATCATCATCATCTTCATCATCAGTTCATCACCTTCCTATCCTGACATAATTATCATGTCGGGAGTATATTTACATACACAGTACCTACAATAATATTACTTCATCCACTTTACTTTATTAAAAAATATTAATCTCCATTTATATATTTTTCTTCTTTTTTTTTTAATATGAGGGGGGGGGGTAGACAAGCCGACGAATATTACGTTACGTTACTTTGTAATAGCTAATTACTAAATTAATGAGCTTTTTGCAGTCCACGGGTGGGCTCCTATAGCCAGCAGTGGACTGCCATTAATCCTATACCTCAATCTGTTAGAAAATATGTATATTGAAAAGACTTCGGACTTTTTAAATTTTAAGATGATCATATGAAAAAGTAAAAGAAGAGAAGGAAAACTTGACACAATCCCTATACCAACCCGTCTAGCCAGCGTGGTATAGTAGGCCAAAACCTCTTTTCTAAAGAGAAACCTATGTCCAGCAGTGGACTATTAAAGGCTGTTGATGTGATGTGATATGAAAAAGTTCTAAAAGAATTCTGATAGTTTTTTTAATATTATTATATTTATACTTTATAAACAAGCTGTACCGAGGCAGAATTATGTAAAAAGTCGTAACACTTTTCAAAAGCAACCAATTTCGATTCTTGTATGAGCTATTAGAATTCCGCTAAGATAATAAATCATCAATCATCTAATAATAAATCAAATACAATAAAAAAAATTAGATAATTTGGGAAAGTTATCTGATGATAAACTGACGACCGAATGGCGTAGTGGTTTGTGTAACGGACTGCTATTCCAAAGGTCGCGGGTTCGATTCCCGCTCAAGTGAAACATTTGTGTGCATGAAAATTTAATGTTAGATTTGGTCTGGGTGTTTCTATATATAATATGTACGTATTTACAAAAAAAAAGTATTGTGAAAATCCCATTAAAATCAATTGGAATTAGTTTATAAACAGGAAGACGCGTAAACAATTTTGGCAGATCAGTGGTAAATAAAGATATTGGTATATATTTACCAATGATCTGCCAGAATTGTTTTCCTTATGGAAATGGCATGGAATTGGTTTTCCTTATCGCGTGACAACCTCTTTTGGTCATCATCTTATCGGAGTTATTGATGAAGATGTATGTCGGAATCAAACCCACTAAAAAAGAAACCACACGGTGTTCCGTCACAATCACAAGTGAGTGCAAGGCAAGAGACTCATGGCAAACATCTTCACTCAGTTCCCATGGATTTCTATCGACTCTTCTTACCTATGTCTAAATCGTAGTCTTACAGAAGACTTCAATTCTTTTTAAAGAATAAGTCCACAAATCTGCGGCAGTGAACTTACACTTCATCACGATCTGACGAATCATGAGTATTTTTGTACCACTCACGCTTTTATTTAGTGGATGGCGATAGGTTGATGATGCCTAATGCCTATAGATATGGTTGTAATCATCATCAGCCTGTTCACTGTTAAACGAATGCCTCCCCATAGAGTGTAAACTATCCCAGTCTTTGGCAGTCTGCATCCATCCATGGACGGGGACTTATCTGTAATAACCTAGATCAAACCCTTTCGAAAACTTTTTACATAATGATTTTTTTATCAATTTTAGTGTCATTTATATTCCAACACTAACAAAATTAAGTATTCATCTTTAGTCATTTGTATGTTCAATTAAGATTATAAATAAACTATCTGACCCGCGCAACTTCGTCTGCGTCTCTCAATAGTAATAAATTTTCTCCGTTTTTGAAACATTCTTCATTGGTGCTCCGCTCCTATTGGTCTTAGCGTGATGATATATAGCCTATAGCCTTCCTCGATAAATGGGCTATCTAACACTGAAAGAATTTTTCAAATCGGACCAGTAGTTCCTGAGATTAGCGCGTTCAAACAAACAAACAAACAAACAAACTCTTCAGCTTTATAATATTAGTATAGATAAACACTCATTAATGTACGTCTTGGCGCCAACATTCGAAATGTTAATGGTTTGTTTTTAATATTATAAGAGCAAAAGAGCAGATGGGGCAACTAATACTAAATGATAGCCACCAACACCTCAAGAGTCACAAGTACGTGGATGCCTTTTGAGAGAATTGCTTAAAAAAACATTTTCGGTCAGGCTGCGGCATCACTCCAGTCGCGCCGGCCCGATATGCTGAAGCACGACTCTCCCACGGTAATAAAAACTTAGCGTGGACCTAACTGACTGCACTGATGGCGTAGTGGTTTAAGCGGTCGCCACTTTCCTTGGGTCATATTATTATGTCTATCGTGCCGTTTGCTCCTTAGATCATAAAAACAATATTACAATTTAGATCAGTAGGCGTCCTCCTGTGTTTTCTTTAGTCATCCGTAATCTAATATATAAAATTCACGTGTCACGTTGTGCGTGGTTGAACTCCTCCGAAACGGCTCGACCGACCGTGAAATTTTGTGTGCATTTCGGGTAGCTCTGAGAATCGGCCAACATCTATTTTTAATACCCCTATTTTTTTTTTTGACAATTTTTATTTAAATAATGTATATGGCAAAACAATGTTTTTCGGGTCAGCTAGTGTCCTTATATTAATGTTCTACTTATTAGTATTACTCACATGGTTTTTCCCTCTTGGTATTGGAAAGGTCGTTGTACCATCAACCTTTTCTAGAGAGGAAAATATGGTAGATCAAGCCGGACTGATATCTTTTAAACTTTTCTTGTTCATTTGACTTACTTATGAAGAAACTGAAGCATACTTGCAATCACACACACACACACACACACACACACACACACACACACACACACACACAAACACACACAATTATACATACATACATCAACTACACATCTCAACATGTACTGGCAAAATATTATTAAAATAAAATATTTTTTTTGTATTAAAGTAAGTTTGTAAGAATCAAATGAACACAATCCTGTACCAATTATGTAACAATTATGCTATGGAAAAGCGGAGTCTCCTAATACAAGCATCATTTGCTTAAAGGGAAGCTCCAATCACGAATATGTTTATACTCAATTTTGGTAACGAAATAAAACATTTTGTATTTATTGTATTTTGTATTTGACCGCAAATGGCGATCGAAAATTTAAGTTTAAGTTTATAAGTTTCATGTGTATATTTTCGAAAGTAAATTGACACATTTTACACATGGTCCTCTGATCTCAAACTAGGAATAGCCTCTGCCTGGTTTGAGATCAGACGACCATGTCACAAGACTATGGTCACAAGACTGCTGATATTGGTGCTAATTTTATTGTTCGAAAACTCTCTAAACTAAACTAAAAATCACTAAAAAACATTTTAGTCCTGTCAAATACTACGTTTTCAGAATAGGAAACGTTGTTTGCCAGAACTAAATTAATTTTTAGTGATTTTTAGTTTAGTTTAGAGTTTTAGAAGAACAGAATTAGCACCAATGTAGGTAAATTACACCTAGACACACAACTAACCATCGTACTAATCACCGAACGATTCGAACCTGCCATCTCATATCAGCAGTCAGGAGACTAAGCACTAGACCAACGGATCAGTTCTGTAGATCATAGACGGATGGGAAGGAAATCAGAGACAAGTACCGAAACCTAATTCTCTTAATGGATTGGTAATTAAGTAAGTTGTGTAGTCTTTCTTTCTCCCATTATCTCTTTAGAGAGGAGTCCTAGCAACGTGACGATGCTGATGAGAAGCGAGCGGCACGCAACACGTTATCTGTCACGTTATACGTTTATTTTGTTGATGTGTCTTTTAGCTCTGCGCATTCCGAACCATAAGAGGGCATAGATTATGTATAAAATAGATGCGAATATGCTCTGACTTTCAGTTCCCTTTTTGACGTATAGTTTGGAAGATAAGATTTTGGGATATCTACAAAAATCTTGCTTATAATAAAAACATCATCATCAACAGACTTTACTAGTCCACTGCTGAACATAGGCCTCTCCTTAGAAAGGAGGTTTTGGCCTACTATACCACGCTGGCCAGACGGGTTGGTTTGGGTTTGTTTCAAGTTTTCCTTCTCTTTGCAGTGCTGTTTTCCTGCGTAGTTTACTCCCTTAGTCGGCTCATGCGACACCCACGGGATGAATAGGGGGTAGTGACACTGTATTCTTAATCCGTCAACACACAGTGATTAAGATAAAAAAAACATTATTAAGTAAGAAATATAGTATATAATGTCACAAGAAATTTATATGAGTTTTAGTTGGTTGCCCACAATTTGGAAGATATTTTTTTTTTGCTAGCTTACAGCCTTTGCATTTTAATAACAGTTATGTAGTGACGTGAACAATTTTATTCTTGAAATGAACATGCAAAAGAACAATGTTTGGTTTGACTGGATTTGGATAGGCTTTTGATACATATTTGCAGAACAGACTTGGTACGAACCGTGGGTAAAGAAATGAGGAACGGCTGGAAATATAGATATATTTTATCCAGAGGTCATAAAGTCTATGCGAAATAAATAATCTTGTGCATATTTTATAGTATTACTAAAAACAAATTAGAGTACCTCAGGGAAGTAGCTCAGACCCAATCTATTTTCTATAAAATCTGTAACTGTGGTAAAGACAACGTTTGTTATTCCACCGTTTTGAATTATTTTCCTTGTTATTCGCACAGTTATATTTAACTTTGTTTACGGACTAAAAAAAAAGACAACCCTGTGGTTTGTTTCGGCGTTTCTTCCCAGAGTGAGTCTTAGGAAATGCCGGCTCCTTCTAGCTATAAAGTCCGACTTGTAAAAATATCTGAAAAGATTTACTTCCAGAAATAAATATAATTTATCATTTATTTATGTGTAGTTGTTGACTCCACATGTGATATTTAGATTAAATTAATATCCTCGTCATATAAACCAAATACCGTGATAGCTATGTGTTATTGTGATCTACCTGCTTTGCCTCAGTGAGGCGCATGGCGACTATCCATTATCAAACTACAGAGTGATCTATCTGTGTAGATTATTTTCCGTGTGGATTGGGTGGCGCCGCACGCACACACGCGGGCGCACCTGACGCCGCCGGTGGCGCCAGCCGCGCGCGCCCTCCCGCCTGCTCCGCGCACACCCCCGCAAGACTGCGTATACAAATAAACTCCCTAAAATTTGGGAAATTTGAAAACACTTCGGTAATTTTATTTTAACCTGAAAGATTGTTTTGAATTATGCGTCGCTTGTAACTTACTTTATAAAGTACAGTACGTCCAGTAATTATAATTTTAGTATTTTTATTTCATTATTAATTTTTCATGTATTGTGCTTTACAGTGAAAAACCTGACCAATACCTGATTGAATAAAAATTAATTTTGAGGGCTTTCTTTAAACTTTTTTGTGTCTCGTCTTAAGATAAGTACTTATGATCAGTTTGGGGTTGGCTATCATAAAAAGGTATCATGTATTAAAATGAAAATAAAACAAATTTTATTCCTATCTTTGAGAATTTTTCTTTGAGCCGTTAACGTTTCCGTCTATATCTTCATAACCAATTAGGTAAATAGGGTACAGTGTCAGGGAGATTTTGTTAGTGTTGTTATCGCACCAAGGCGCGTCAGTGCACCGTGCGGTGGAGCGGTCGGTCCGTCAGCAGCGTCAGTCTAGTGGCCGCACGCGGCGAGTGATGTCGTGTCGCCAGCGTGTGTGTGTCGCGTGGCGCGAACGGCCGCGCGACTTGTGACAGCGGCGGCGGCATGTGATGTTCCGGAGGCGCGCGCTGCGGCGGCGGCTGGCGGCGGCCGGCGCGCCTCCCCTGGCGGACGATCAGCTGCGGCGCCTAGCACGGGCACTGGACGCGGGCGCTGCCGGTGCGGAGTGTGTGCCGGCCGGTCAAGCCGCCTCCCAGCTACGACTTGCGGTCACCCGCATCTTCAGGTTCCCCGAGCTGCGAGACACCACCGAGCTGAGGCGCCTGCCCCTTTGCACCGACCAGCATTGCTGTAACCCGTACCACTGGAGCCGCCTCTGCAAGCCCGGTACGTGACGTGATCGAGGACGTTGACCCGTGCAACAAGTGCATCGAGTAAACAACTGAACGTCCATGTCGTATACGAATCTTGGAGTCAGTGCGTCGTGCTGTGTGTCTCATATGTTTGTTTTCTGAACGTGTTCTGTTGCATAATGTGTGAATGGATGATCAAAGGAATGAATGGCCGCCGATTGTGTTTGGAATCAAGAAGTTTGCCGGGCGGCGAGTTCATTGCAAGACTTCGGTTCTCGATACGTTTCTAATACGACCTAACCTCATCTAACCTAACCTAGTTTCGTTTGTTTTAATTACAATTTGAGCGTCGTTGCCGGTAGACTATTTTGAATGCCACTGTGTGTTTTATGTGTTTCTGGATGCTTTTAGCTCCTTTGAAGTTGTATTTTGGTCTGGTAGCATGTAGTTGTCGTGTAAATTAGTCGGTTCACGCGGGTTGCATCAAATTATCAGTGCGAATCGTTATCAGCGTATTATCGCTACTGTTTGTTTCTGTATCTATAGTTACGTTGCTCGTGACGTCAGGTGATGGTCGTCGCTCACATAAAGCACATATGACACAAGTACGATATGTAACACCATCCCTACATTAGATTGTCAGTGTAAACATTATAGTTCGGCGTTCTATTTATAGCTGTGACATCAACTGTAGTTTCTTACACTTAATGTATGAAATTTCAAAGGTCACCACTTTCTTTCTATACTGTTGGTATGTCGTGCGACATATTTTTCATAATACAAATCTAATAAATTGCCTGATTTATTTGAGTAAAAGTACAAATCGTTTGTAGGTAAGGTACGTGTGAATTTTAGTGGCAAATAGTGCTTATAATTTCCTTAGTGTTGTTGCGTAGTCAGGGTGTGTGAGAAGCGGCTCGCCTAATCTGTCGTGGCGAGGGTCACTCGCTCGCGATAAGTAGACAAGGTCGCGGCGCCGGCGCCGCCGTGCCGCGACCGACGCCGCGCCAACAGCCCGTTAACTTTTTAATTCGTCAGGCTATGGCGCTACCGCCGGCGGTCAGCCTTTGTTAGGTAAATACCAGCTACAAGTTTATTCCATATACATCATGGTCTATAATTTTTTTCACATCTCACTTAAGACCATCTGAACCCAAATTAGGCAGAGGCTGTACTATAGAAACTAGATTGCTGATAGACATACTTGTATGTTACTAAATACTATACATTAATTACTATTAATTAGACCAAGACAGAATAAATTATCATGTTTAAAAAATATTTATTTGTCGAGGGTAGGAATCGAATCTAGCTTAGAGAATTTTATTTATAAAAGGATATAAACCTTTATTTCTAAGCGACAGTCAATACCACTAAGTGACGTCATTGTAGTTATAATTTATGTAAATTTTCTTTTACCTAATCGCGTCTTAATTTAGATGTGATCCAAACTTGTTTGTAGCGCCTCTTTTATCTTTTACAATATTCTATGATCGGGTAGTTTTGAAATATCTAAATAGTTACAATGTACAATACAATTACAATACAATTACAATTTTTTGAATTCCTTAGCCACACATAAGTATTTGTTGTGTAAGTAACCCAGTAAAATACTCATAAATAGGCCTTCTCTGCCAACAAAACAGCAACCGCTATTTTCAAATTTAAAAAAAAAACCACCAGATTTACGTCAACCCATGGACACAAATATATATTTAGGTATAATTTTTACACAACGCTTCATGATTTTATAAATTAATATTTTGTAGTTAGTTAATAATTCATTAAATATCTACCCACATTATCATTGTAAAAATAACTTCTGAATCTAATTTCAACATTTCTACCCATTAATATTGTAATTGCACTGCAATTTTAATGTAGCATATCAAATTCAATGTTACTTCTAATATAATTCAAAAGCCTATACCACTACTTAATTCAATCTTCATTCAAATAAATGAAAATACCTTTTACCTTTTACCTATAAAACACATTTTAACATACGACTGTACTCATCAAAAATTTAAAAAACAAAAGCTTTCCCAAAAAGGTTGTATAACTATAGAATCTCTAGTATTCCAACTAGGGATTGACCATGACATCGACTCACGCGCAACTTCGCCTACTTACAACAACGCCCACCATATACATCACTACTGGCATCGTGGGTGTGTTGACAATGCCTGTTAGCATATTAATTAAGAAGAAAGCCGACTAAAAAAATATGAATATTTATCTTCCTTAAGAGGCAAGACATGTACCAACATCTAAAATTGGTGTTGCAGATGTTTTTGATACGACATTCTTCACCAAGGGCTGTAACGTAGAAATTATACGCGTTTTTTATCAACGAAGTCCAAACTACGAACGCCAATAAATCAATTACCCTTTTTTACATCAATGTACGCCTGCTCAATTTTTTTTCTATATTTTACATTTATTTTTACACTATACATACACACATTACATATAATGTTTTTAAGATGTTGTCTAATTTATATCACATGTATTGACTAAGAAATATATGCAAGGTTACATCAAAGACACGACTAATGCCGTATCAGGGCGTCTAATCCTTTACCGTTCACTTTCGCTACGGAATAACCATAAATGGCTTTCAAATTGGATAAATATGTTTTGCACAAGCATTACAAGTTGTGTAATTTACTAAATTATTCCATTACACAAGATAACTCAGCCTGTTTCAGTGTAAACCTCGTGCTTCATTTCGTTTTCTTTAAAAAAATAAATTTAGGGAATATGAAAGTTAATTATTTAGTTTTTTGCGTAAGTTCCAAGTTTTTGATATCTCAAAGCGCAATCGTCTAAACCTGTTTGATTGTTATTTTTAATTTTATTTGTGTTTTTGCTATACTAATGAAGAGATGATCGTTTGAGTAGAAACTTCCGAAGACTCGCACCTGGCTCCATTAGTTCGCTCCCGTAGTCGGCACGCTCATATAAAGTTTTTTCTTCGTCTCGTGTCGCGACGTGTTCGCGTCGCCAATGTTTTTGTCTGCTTTCCCATTGGATTCCCACACCGTATTCGCTAAATAAATTCTGTATACTGTGCCACCTATTTGATTTGTATGCATATTACCAACTTTCGAGGCACTAAACCGTGTTGTCTGACTTTTTGACATAGTTTCTAATTAGACTGTAACTTCTAAAGTAAACATTTGATAAACATTCCAAGCATAGCGCTTAGACAAAACCTATTTTACAGAGCCCAGTAATGCGGGTAACAATTTCAGTTTTACGAGCTCGCAGATCGTAATATAACTCATCGTAAATTTAATCATCGGTATCGTCGGACACCTGCGCCGCGTCGCCTCTCTTGATTCATCACTTTTTTTTCGGTTTGTCTGTCGAGACGTGTTTTTGCTGAGGCCGAACAGGAAATCCTCGATGTCCAAGTCTAGATTGAAAGCGTCGAAACTATTCACGGACATTATTTGTTCTGCATGCCAATGGCTCGTGTTGGCAAATCAAAGCAAATCACGCTGTGGCTTATGTTTGATAATTATTTTCTACCACCACCCGGCTCGAAAACGACCGTTGCTAGTGGGAAGAGAGGGATCTTTATCTTATCGAGGTTTCTTGGCAACATAGCACCGCGCGCGCCAACTCACTGTATCAAAGATTGCCACGAACGCGCGATTGCCGGGGCACGTTCGCCGTGACAATCTGACGGTCTATCATCTCATACCCATTACGGAAATCAGTCACCCACATCCGGCAATTAAACCCACATCCACGACGGACAAACATTAACGGAGAATTCTAACTACCATTTACAAGTAATTTCGTGCCCACACGCCATTTCACCGACCATTACAAGTGGGGTCCAAAATTTAATGATATCGTCTAGATACCAGTATGAGAATCCATCTGTTGATGTTAGCGACGCGTCGGAGGCGGCGGCATGGCCGATATTTATTTAGCCATAATTGCTTGTCGGCTGACTGGCGCCGGCGCCGTGTCGCGCCGTGTGCGGGGTCGAGGCAGGGGGACGGGGGAATGGCGCGGCGTGCGCGGGCCGGGGAGCTGCGCCGGCGCAGGTACGCCTCCTGCCGCACTGCGTAAGCTCAACTCGATTTTCGTGATTTGTTTTTTCATCTCGTTTTATTGTAGTCTGGTCATGTTTTTGGGTTGCTTTGTTGAATTTGTGAATGGTTCTCTTATTATGTACGCCAAAGAATAGGCTTGCAATAAAAGAAGTATTTTACAGCTAATCTTTTTGTATTTCGCTATGACTTGTTGTTTACTTAATAGTGAGATAAAGCTTCTAGTGATGTTCGTCGTTTTCCATTTTGCGATTCACACTCGATAGGTAGCATTAATATCGAATGAATGTACTTTCTGATTTCATATTATTAACTTAGTAGGTGTTCCGAGTGTGTCACGAAATAGCCCATTGACTGGCGGCATCTATGATAGAACCGGTTGCTCCCGGTGGCGGCTCTTGCGAAACTTGAAAAATTGTCGTCTTTTATTACTTACACGTACCGAGCGAGGACGTGGTACCGATCGCTTATTTCACTGCGTTTTAGGAAGTCTTTTGACCAACGTATTTATTTATTTTGAGCAGGAGGGAAAAATAATAGGCAAAATCTCTGTCTGTAGTTACCTACTTACCTAACGGTAATTAACCAAAACAAACGTACGGACTTCAAACAATAACCATAATTCTTTTGACCTGCTCAATTTCGGGAGACCAAACCAAACCTTTCCTGCCAATTTGGTTTGGTGACTAAAATCTACGGTTGCGTGCAACAAATTTTAAAAAAATCTAAAACGGCTTATTCGTTCACGTTCATAAAAAGACGTATATAATTTTAATAATATTCATATTTTGAATAAATTAAAATATTGAAAAGAAAATTTATGGTTGGATATGGATATTCGCGCGTCAATCTCTTTGAAAATTTAAACCGTTTTGCCGTTAGATGCAAACATGTCGATCTTTGAAAGCCTAATTTGTTGCTTAAATCCTTTTAAGATTCAGTTTTGTGATCATTTGAATTAACT